TTTTTTTTTACTTTTAAACTAAACCTTAAAGAACATTGATTATGCTGAGAAATCTCCTCTCCTCCTCGTTCTATTCTTTTTTCTTCTCCTTTTCAATAAGTCTTTTTCATTTTTGGTTTTTTTTTTCTGCTGTTGTCCGAACTGTTGCCATTCAGTCAACAAAGAAACCACAGGTCATACAAGTGGTTTTTCTATTTTTAGCAATACAAAGATACGCTAAAACAATTAATCAAACTCAAATCAATTTTAATTCAATTAAAAAAAGTTGAAACTCTTTCTGTTTACAAGTGTTTTTATGTTGTATTCGTCGTGTAATTGTCTATGTACAACTAAACTGTCTATCCCAGAACTTTTCGTAATTTAATAGAAAACCTTTAATTGTAAATGAATTAAAGAAGCAGCAAAAATGGAAAAACTTGAAAAATTTTTTTGAAAAAGTGTAGCAAAAAAAAAAAAAAAAAATATATATATATTCTATTTGAAGCAGTTAACAAACAATTTACAAGGACTTAATTACTGCTTAAAAAATAACCTTTTTAAATATTCCTATAGTTTGATGAGAACTGTGAACTTCACAATTTCGCCTTAAACACAGTGATTTCCTTGTAATTGGCTTTCCCTTTTTTTTTTTCTTCTTTATCAGTTTAAAAAAGTTTCATTTATTCTCATCAAACTTTCCGACAAACACAAAAAAAAAGTAAAAAAAAAAATAGAATCGTCTGCTTCATTCTCTATTAGCTGTCCAGTTGATGAGAAAGACATGATTTTTTTGCTAAAATTTGTCTGCATAAATTTCTTATAAGCGTAAACGAGAAAAGTCGAATTGCCATAGACAAATGAGGCTGATCAGAATCTGTACAGAAATTTTGATGCCATGAATGACAATAAATTTGATGATTTGTTTCAACCGTTTCTTCACCATCATCAAAGAGGAAAAACGATTTTCTAAATTATAACAACCAACGGATTGTTGGCGAATGCGGTTACTATAGCGAATGCATAGTCACTGCGACAGCTGCAGTGTATCAGCGAAAATTGTGGACATTGTTACAGAATGCTAAAGCTGAATAATTTTCAACGCTAACAACTAATTGCGTAAATGGTCGTTTCATTGCTGAGGGTTACACAGTATTTGCAGGTAGTTTAATAGTGTATATTCGTGAATGAAAAATTTCAAGTTATACCTACCGTAATCACGATATGTGTAGAAAAATTATTTCATTAAATAATCAGATTTAGTCAGCATGCAACGGTGGGAGAGCAAAACAAAAGAGCAGAACCGTGGAAAGAAAGCCTTTGATAGGCGAAACAAACGTAATTGCTATCACTTTCCATCTATAAAGTTTTGGCTGCCCAATCACAATACAGATTGATTGATTTCAAAATAACTATTTGAAGTTTGATATAGCCCCCGCTTTCCTTATCTGCAGAAATTTGCCCTTCTCCTAACAGCAGCAAAAATTGAAAAAAGCAAACAAGAAAGCCCGAACTTTGTCAACTTACACCGTGAAATGCTCATTTATCAAAATACACTGTAAATGGTTTGGAAATTGGTAAAGATTTAGTGTAAAATTTTTTTGGGAACATAAAAAACTAGCTTTACCTGAAGAAAATTATACGAAAAAAAACCGACATAAAAACACAAGCTTTGTCAGAACATCAATAAAGTCAAAGATCATCCATGGAACTATACACGTCAGAGCAACATGTTTTTAAAATTTCATTTCTTACGTTTTCTCTAAAAAAAAATTGTTTTTTTTTTCACTATTAACAATGGTTAGACATAAATTTCCAAAAGCAGATAAGTTTACATCGCAAAAAAGTGCATACCCAAGATTGTGACGCTTCATCAAAATAATAAACAAAAGCCAAAATTTTGCTTCAAATTACGTTTACGCGAAATTAAATGATAGACAAACTCCAGAAACAAAATAAAGCATAGATACAAAGGAAGTCATATGTACCGTAGTCATATGTACATGCTGAAATATTCAATAGTTTTTTGTCAAGAATCTGTAAACACATAGAAGAAATTGCATACCTCAAATACGAATGAAATGAATGAAAACTATGTATCCCTCAACCAAAAACTGTCAACAGTCAAACATCGTTTTCCTTGTAGAATCAGCAAGATCAAATGCTTGTATCCCACTTTTCTAAACACTTACAACTTCGTCAAATCCAAAGATTTATCATAATGATGAGCCTAGACAGCACTCATCTCCTTCGCCTATTTCGCTTCATAAGCATAAAATTTTGAGCATTATACTTGCAACCTTTTCTACAGTTATAACTGTTCAATATGTACAGAAGAAAAACGTGCTTAATCAACTTAAACAGTTAAATTGACGTAAAGCAACAGTTTCATCATTTTTATTCTACAGCCTAGAAAACTTTCATTACGGTTTACCAGTTATTCAGGTTGCTTATTAAATTTTTATCTGTTTCTTCTAAATCGGAATATCACTTAAAAATTTCTATCTTCACCGTAATTTCCTAAATCTTTGCAAATTAAAAAACAAACGTCCAATAATTCTTACCACTTTCTGATGAAAAACTAAAGAAACTGGGAAGTATCGACCTTCAAAAGCAATGAAGTCTTAAAACGAGTAATACCGAGAAAAATAAACCTGGCCGCAAAATGTAACAAATTATTTTATTTTTCAAAGTTTCATAGGACTTCCTATTTTAGCTTAGAAGACCATTTTCTCCATCTTATTACTGACAGCAAACATTCGTTCCTTGTTATGACGCGTCAAATTTAATAATTAATTCAGAATTCCGGTGATCCCCTCCTATGTAACTTGAGAAGACAATTTAACAGCAGCAAAATACACCTCAACTAGCACCGTTCTAAATCAAAAAATTTTTATGCTTCTCAAACTTGTCACTTCCTTGCTTCCAACGATTTCTTACCAGTTTAGACCAAAAAAAAGAAACTAACCAGGAAAAGTTATGGTAAAACAGCTATCAATCACTTGTGCCCTGCCAGCAGCTTAGAATTATGCCTTCAAAAATGAAGTAATTAGAGAGATTAAAGAAGGCAGTTTTAAAGAATTCTGCAGAAAATAGCCCATAACCAGCAACGGTTTTCGCCAAGAACCAGCACTATGATCCCATATAGTTATATAATAAAAATACAGCTCAGAATTCTTTAAAAAAAAATGTTTCAGTGCGCTACATCTACGTTTCTTCTGTCCAGAAAACAAATATAATACAAAACAAACTACAAAAATACACTTATTCTTTTCTGGTGTTCACTTCCCCAAGCTTTCAAGCCCCATCTGTTCTCGATCTAACTTTTGCTGAGAAGAAGTAAAAATTACCCCTAATAATAAAAAAAGTGAAAAATTTTAGTATAAGTATAAGGAAGCAGCACCAATGCCTTCAACCGTTCTGAACTTCACTCCATGCTTTATCTCCAAACCTGGAACTTTTATATCGACTTTACTAAGACTACATCAGAAATTAGTTTTTTTAAAATGATTAATGCGAGTTGTTTTACAAAATTGAATTTTTATGAAATCAATTTATTGTCGCTTGATTGCTTCAGTTAAGCCGTTTTTGGAATTTTGAAATTTTGAAAAATTGCGTATATAAGGCAGAAGACTACTTTGCTCGAATAATCTGAAAAGTTCATTTACATCACCTCATGCTGCTTCATTGACGGCGCGCTGGAACTTCAACCGTCCCTCCCACATTTTCACAAAACCAAGTGTAAGATCTAAGGACTTTACAGAACTGATTTTTCACAATGTTTTCTCCTTCTCCAATTGGAGGCAGAAGCTGTTCACCTATTTCAAAACACTTGATGCTTCCTCCCCCACCGTGTCTTCGTTCTTATAAACGGGCTCTTTTGAGCTTTACTTTTAACGGATGTTACTTCACAGAGGTCCTACGCCACCCCACTATTTTTCGTGTCCCATAATAAGACTTTTTTGCTTTAACGCATTTGCACGGCGCAATTTCTGGAAACACCTTGATATAAACCCTTAGCGGTCGTTTTGTAGCCCTAGTTTTAGAACTCTCCAGACTTCAAAACTTCCCGCTTAAAAACTCTACAACCCACAACACAACACTCTTCTTTAAAGTTCCTGACAAGCTTGAATAACCAGCAACCAATACGCTGGATGCATACCAGCGAACGCACCAATAACAGGAACACGATGTGCAACAGGAATGACGCAGAATCCAAGCGAACCACTCGTCAAAAACCTTTCTCAAATGCGACGCAATTCCAAATCTTAATTACCCTCATCTTCGCATCTAGCGATCATCCGAACTCCCACTTCTGCCTTCCGTTTTCTCTCAAATCCTTTACTCTAACACCGACCGTACTGGAGATCTTCCAATTATAACAAAAAAAACTTGAGCAAGCTGATATCCGGACTCACCTTCAGACGAACAATAAAACTGAAGGATACCCACTCCTTGCTCCTCAACAACAGGCCTCGTTTTGCTTCAACTCTTCCCGTAATACGTTACCCAAAGCCAGCAAAAAGAAATTGTTCATGTACATATTTAAGACATCAGTCAGGTCAAAGGAAAAACATAAAACCGAAAATAATATTATAATGTAACAATCTTCACTGAGGCAACAAAACTAGCACACCCGCCTACAACTACCTAACAGATCCATACCCAATAAAATCGGTAAAAAACATCAATTTTGTACAGACAGTAGCGAACGAATTACTGTTATAACTGAAAAACACATGAACTTCAAATATCTACAATAATAATAACTTAAGAATCGCAACAACAACTGTTGAACGACAGGAAGCTAATTTAAAGAAGTTACTGAAGAAAAAAGCGTAGATCTAGTCAGTTCCCATACAAAATCAGATTCAAGATAATTATCAAAACAAACTTGTAAGATAATGTCGGAAAAGAATGAGTACATGCAGCACATCAAATAGCAAATTATTTACAAATAATAACAGCATAGCCATTCTTAATTACAAATCACCGAGTGTATGTCGTTTGTCCGAATGTGACCTTAAATTACCCTGAAAATACAAAATTATGTTTCAACAAATAGACTCACAGGAGAGAACCATCTGCCATATAGAAAAACCGACAAAAAACTATAAAATTTATACTCAATAAAATAATGCTCACTGTGCCTGGAGGCCTCGTTCTACCTTTTACCTCTTCTCCTTTCGCAGAACCTGCCGTTTTCATCGCCTTAGCCCTCTGTGATGCGCAATTCCCATCAACTAGAACAAGTGATAAATTAAATTAAAAAGCAGGTGACGACTGAAGTTATTATACTTTGGTTGAGACATTTATATAACTTGAAGCAACATCAATATCCTATCGCGTTCATGAAAAATTTTTCCCATCAAAAAAAAGTTGGGATGCATTGAACGGCAAAGAGCATCTCATGCGAATGATCGTAAATCATGGGCGAATTTGCATGAATTCGTAGCAAGGACAACCAGCGGCAGCAAATCCGATAAAATTTTGACCGTCAAAAAGCAAGTTAGTGGCATGAGGAAGTTGGCTAACGGAGACTTAATGAGCAATGGTAAACAGAGAATGAAATTTTCTCTTTTTCCTATGTGCTAACAGCTTCAGTATTCCGAGCGATAAGCTGTCACTCAGCTTTTGAAGGTATTTGTATCCAAAAACCGTACTACTATCCGTATTATCCAAAAAATACAGACAAAGCGGTTAGCGGCCAGCAGTTTTGAATTTGTATGTTAATTTTTTAATAAGAGTAAATTAAAAATGAAATTTTCTTGAATATTAAGACCATTACCTAAGCAGAGGAGCCACTAAGAGGACAAGAAATTTTTCAACAAAGCTTCAAAAGATTACTGTTCTCAGAAATCACTGAAGGAGCAAGCGGACGACGTAACTGTCGACTAGAACTAACCAAATCATTTACCCTGTCCATCGCTGACTGGCGTGATGAACCAGCTTCAAAATCAGGTTCCAAGTTCTCTGAAATCACTTAAAAATGCAATTCTGCCCTTAATAATTGATTAACAACCAAATAAATAGCTTTAGATTTAATGTTTTAAAATAAAAATTCAATTTTAAGGCATTTATGGAACAAGACTGCAAGAGAAACCAGTAAATCCGGTAACGGCTAACTGACATCCCCTAGCCAATCGTTCTTGAGCGTCCAAATATATTTGTTTCTTATAATTTTCAAGATTTTTCGTATAATCGCATAGCTGAAACAAACAGTTCTGCTGATTGAAAAACGCTAAAAAAATTTTAGAATTACAGAAAAAACTTTATCAGCTGAGAACCTTAGCAACCAATCCATCTCTCTCTCGTTTAACTTTGATTATTTCGTTCCGTTGTTCATCCATCGTCTCTTTTTGCTCATTTATCACAGTGGCCCACTGACGCTCAGTTTCCCTGCGTTTTCTTTCCACCTCAACATCCTAAAAACTGTACTCCTAACAAATAACGAAATTATCGCCTCCTAATGTAAAACAGAAAAAGCAACGCACCAACTTCAAAAATTTGCCTAAAAAGGCAAAATTAACAAATATGTATCAAAGCTTTCAGGCTCCACTTAATCGTTATTAAAGAATAATACCAGTTTCCTTCTCCATTCTATTTCTTTTTCGGTCAAATTCTCCTGTGCTCTTTTTCTTTCTTGTTCCACTGCCTTTTCGAGCCTAGTGCACTTCGCTTCACATTCTTCTCTATTATTCTCAAACTCTCTTAAACGTTCTGTCAACCTTCGAATCTCTTCTCTCTTCTCATGGATCTCTCGTTCAAGGTCAGCAACCTTCCTCGACATTTCTGAAATTCAAAGCTGCTAAGTGTATTTAAAAAACCATCTGAAACAGAGTGCAACCAAAAGCGAAAAGTAACCTTGGTTCTCACTTTCTTTCGCATTTAATCTTGCTTTCAGGCCACTAATTTCATTTTTGCTGTCCCTACAAGTGACTTCAGCTACATGTAACTCCTAAAATAAACATTTTACTTACCGTCATATCAACAGCAATAAAAGACAACCTGTAATTGTTAATGCCTAGTGACCCTCCTTCTTTCTTTTAAAAAAAATGTTAATAGCATGAAACCAAGGTAATAAAGCAAAAAAAATTTATTGATAAAGTTTTCAAAACTCTATCAAACATACAATAAGAAAGAGAAATCTTTCTACACAGAATATGCACTGGCAAGCAAGACTGATTCAGTCACCATTTCCTTATTCAACCGCTGTATTGAAGATGGCAAGTGTTCAAAAGATGAAAAATCTTCCATAAGGGAGGAAGTGTAGCAAGCCATCTCCAAACCTAGGATTAAACCAAGAATGCGTCTGTTAACTTACATTCTCTAACCTACGCATGGTACCAAGCTGGTCATCCACCCTCGTAAGCAGATTCCTATTCTCTGTCATAAGCAATTCATTAGTTCGCTCAACCTTCTCATTCATTTCAATAAGATAAGTGGACCTTTCAATCCTTTTCCGCTCCATAGAAACAAATTCATCCAATAATCGCATAATTTCCTTTTCCAGCTTAAAAATGAAACTGGAAAAATAAGACGACGAAAAGTAAACAAATCTCTAAGCGTCTTATCACTCGGTAACTTACAAAATACAGAGAGATTTAGAAAATATGAAATTTAGCATCTTTAAACTAAAAATTTCCACTTACTAAATCTAGAAGATTCGAGTAATGTTTGTCAGCGGTTTCAGAGACTGCTAGCCTTTGCTCTAAACTCAAAATTTTCTCATTCTGCGTTCTGACAACTTTCTCACTGTGTTCTAACTTCAACATGGTGGATCGCAACAAGGCTTTGGCGCCATCCAAACTCAAACTCTAAAACTTTACAAGTAAAGTTTACTGCCTTAAACGCTTTCAGGTAAAAGAAATTATATTCCAATCCTTTCGTACTTTCCTTTTTTATAAACAACTACCAACCGCTTAAGAGAACTAAAAAACTAGAAAGAGAAAAAAATGCGAGGAATTACTTCTATTTGTTTGAATTCAGCGTCTCTTCCAGACGAAAACGAAGTAATTTCATATCGAGCAGCAACTCCACTAGCCGCAACCATACAATTTAATTCATCAGTTCGTTTTCGTCCTTTGGCAAATATTCCGTTCAAAATATCAACATACCTAGAGATTTCCAGTAAATTAAACTGGGAAACTCCATCCAAAATACGTTATAACTCATAAGGAAGAGTTCTAGCATGTTCAAAATTGCTCCATACACTTAAATTCATTAATGAAAACTCAAAACGGGCAATATCAGATGTCAAAAACAAACCTAGCCGTAACCGACTCAGTTTCACCAACTTCATTTCTGGCTGTACCTCCATACTTGTGAAATACTCTTTCATTTGAAAAATCCTGTAAGTCCAAACCAGTTCTATCTTCCGATGAGTCGTCGCGCATTATAAACTATAAGCTCATGTTCAACAAATTCCTTATAGATAGATGGTCAGTTTATAACAGAAAAAAATGGTTTACGGAAGAAACTGAATTCGTCGAAAAACTTTTAAGTGGAAAAAATTATGCTTCCAAGACGGAAAAAAGCAAAATTGCAGTGAAAAATTTGGCTGAAATAATTGGACTATGTATAAAGATGTTGAAAAGTACGCTGCTGAAAATACCCTACTTAAAAAGGATGTTTTTAACCCCTCTTCAGTTAAAAAATTAACACCAACATCAGGTAAATAATAACCGTGAAAAGTCTGTTACAGATCAAAACCCCATCAAATTTCGTGTATCATTGCCAAAAGAATCGCGACAAACTGTTGGCAAAAACGTTTTGCACGAGACAAAGGTTGACAAATTTTTTCCCGCCAAAATCTAACACATTTAATCGGCGTTTTTGGCAACATTCCATTACTGTCCAAATTTTATCAGCTGACAGTGGTTACTCGAGACAAAGTTCCGCTTTCTGCTGTCCGGTGTTAATTTGCGTAAATAGCAGCGTTGTTTGCGAAGGAATTGGATAGTAGAGGCAGGTTGTAGCTATAAGAGGATTGTGACTAAATTCGGAGAAAATTTAGGAACCAAATCCGGATATTCATCCTTACGTTTTAGCTGCTTACTGAGTATGAGACTGCCGGATGTGACATTGTTGTGAGGAAATCATGAAAACCATTAACATTATCAGTAGACAGAAATATTGGGTTGAAGGTTATCTAGTGAGGTCAGCTGGTCTTTTCCTCTGACCAAGCTATAGATTTTCACTTAATTCGGTTTCTTTGAAGGCAGTGGTAAAAACAGGTTGAACACTACAGCAGTACACAAAGCTTTATGGAAGCAGTTCAGCACGTTTAAAGTATTCACGATAAACTTAAGCAAAGTAACTGCCTCATTTTAAGAAAAACTGACTGGGAAAATGGATTAAGCAACTTTGGTGGGGATATCAAAAGAAGACTGCAGGTGGCCAACTGGTAAATGCCAATTAACCTGATTGCTGATTGACAGGTAGACAGACTAGTAAACAACATGTGGCTTATCTGAATTACGCTGCGGTCTTACTGGCTGGAAATTAGCACAGTGGAATTTTCAGTTAGACCACCAACGGAGGTCTTTTTCTGAAATAGTGCGCGTAACTTCAGGCAGTACTCCAATGGCTTCAACTTATAACTTTCATTCACTCAGTCAAGAACAGCTTTGTTAACACTCCACCAATTAATTATTATGCAGCTGAAAGAAAAAAAAAATTGCGTAATCCGCATTCAAAGCTTACTAAACATACTACAAAAAAATGTACTAATTCTAAACATAAACATGAAACCGACACTGTCAATGATTTCACCACCTGCTTTTTCGACCTTTCTGTAGATCGGGCATGTTTTTCTTCCGCGAGTCATCGTGGGTCATGATAAAAATTTATTCTGTAGAAAGTTTTAAAATTTTTTTGGTTTTTCACGAATACGTTCCACTTTAGAACTGTGTTGGGAAGATGTCTTAGCTTTTAGCCTTGTTTCTGGTAGAGTTGCAGAAACCTTCATGAGCTTAATTACCGTAAATCTGTGTGGAGTTGCTATTATGTTGTGACAATACCCTTCTGTAACTACTTGTTTTCGAGCTGAACCACGTAGTTAAGTCACACTGCTGTGTTGGCTTCACTACTGTTCAACTGACTAGGCTTGACGGCTTAATTAAATGAAAAATGAAAGAGTCAATATGAAGTTGAACGTAATTCTGCGTAAATAGCAAAATTTTTGAGTTAAAAGGGTCTTACAAGTTAAAAAACAAGAGACAGTTAGCTTGTAATGAAAACAAGTTTTGCAGTCTTTATGCAATATTGGTCCCCGCTTCGCCATGCCTTTCATGTAGTCTATCTTCGTGGTGAAGACAACAGAATGGTGTACCCGATGTCGCGACATAATGGCTAAACCGCCATTAAGCTTAAGATACCGTCTGACATCATGCATAGTCCGTTTGGTCTAACCGAGTTTTCTTTCAGCAGTTCTGTTCCTTTATTCTGCAATGAAAGTATATACTTATTTGTTCTGAACCCACCATTTCTGTTAATCATTCTTTACATTTTGGTGATATGAAAGTTCAGTCTGGTTGCCTGTCGGTGCAGAAGAATTTCAGAGAAGTAAAAATAGTCTTTTTTTTTTTTGATTTGAAAGCTTTTAAAAAGTATATTCCCTGTGTATGGACTGAGCGCTTGTATAAATATCGTTTTTTTTTACTGATTGTCATCTAGCAGAAAAATATCTGTGTGGAAATTTAGATGCACTTGGAGTTATTTTTTGTATCTTTTCTCAACCGTGTCTGGTAACGGTAGTAAAAGATTGAATCGGAGAAACTGTAAAAGAAACAAAGCTTTTTCCCTAAATGGTTTCAGTATTGAAAATTTTTGGAAAAGTTGACGAAGACATTCCCGAAGAATGAGAAGTAACGAAGAAAACTTTGAAACAGCATACTCATTAGGAAAAAACTTTCTATTAGCAACAAATTTTAGAAAACAAAGGGAAGCTAAATTTCCGCTCATACAGTGGATTTTTTTCTCCTGCTATATAGAATGCTGGTTTGACGTCGCTTTTTTTTTTCTGCTATATTTTTTGAAGCGCAATTGTAACATACCACCTATTCTGGACGAACAGTTTGACCTGATCTTACAATCGTTTCCATGTTTCCTTCTGATTTCAAATGGCAATGTACTAATGAAATCGGAAGCCTTGTTATGTTTCAACAGCTACAATGAATTTATTTTGCGCCTCCACAAAATCACTTGAACTGTTTGTCTTAGCTTTTTTTTTCTTTCAGCACTGATGTTAAGTTTAAACAAAAAAAGCCGTACTGAGTCAACAAATCGGATTGAAATTCGTTTGTGGCATGTGTGAAGTTGCGTAAAATTAGACAAGGACTATTCAAAGCTTTTAACAAACGACAACAAAAAAGCTTGAAGCGCAGCAACACTGTCAAGTGAGACTTTCAAAAAATAAAGTATTACAAAAAGATAATTTAGCAAAAATAATAACATAACCGTTTACAGAGTGGTACAGAACGAAAAACAATTGTAACTGAACAAAGTATTACGATTTTGGTTAGAAAGTTTTTCATTTATTTTTCATTTTAGTCTATACTTTATCATTTTTAAAATGAAAACTTCGCGGAGAAGCACCATTTTTGTCTTCATCACAGAAATAAAAAATGGCCTTATTTCTGTATACTTTCTGCATCTTCAATGGATTCATTTTGAATACCATAGCTAGTGATATACAGATACCGTTATTGTAAGCTATACAACTTAAGCCCTTAGCAGAAAAAGATCATTAAAAACGGAATGAATCAAACAGTTAAAGAAAATTAGCCAGAAAAAAAAAGAAAACAGCATAAACTAAAAATTCTTTTTTTTTAAAGATTTTATTTGAAAATGTTTAGGAAAAATACCGTCACCCATAGTTTTTGACAGCTTCTGATAGTCAGTGATCGCTGTAACGGGGTTGGTGGATGTTAGCGGAATATAGCTTAAACAAGCATATGCCCGAACAGTACTGAGAATTTTTAATCTTAGTTTAACTCCAACAACTACTTTTTTTTTGGTAACAACAATAAACAGAGAATTTTTTTTGAAAAGTCAAAATTAATTTTCACAAGAATTGATGTCTTAAAAAGTAAACAAAAAAAGAATAAAAATAAAAAAAAACAAGACAAAAAGAAATACATAGAACTGAACTGTTTAAAGTATCAACAATATGGTATTGATAATCAATAGACATAATTGATAATGCTGTTATGTGCACCTTACTGGAAGCAAGTCATTAGGGGATACAATTACAAGCAACAAGCTTCAATTGGCATCTTCTATTCACAGATTATCCACGTTTCAAATTCATTATATTATTTTTTAGTTATTATTATTATTATTATTAATATTATGATAATTGT